TGTGTGTCTGTGCGCTGAATCTGTACAGTTTATGGATGCAGGCTTGCATTAGGTAATAACTTAGCACTTCTCTTTTTAAAATATGGTCACATTTGGCTCCAAAACGCCAGAATGACAGAAGCCAAAATCTTGACACAACAGTCTTTGAGATGCACCGTCTCAAAAACAACAGTGACAACAGCCACGTTTATCTTTGATATACAGTCATGAGAAAACCAAAGTTCCCATAGGACTCCATCCAGTGAAAAACTAAATACACCCTAGCTTCTTTCATAAGAGTTAGCAGTTAGCAGCCATGTGGGGCTAATTGAATGCACTTAATTAACCGATGATCAACTACTGTGAACACTTTTTTAATATTATAATATTATGTTTTTGCATTTGTCCTTATTCCACAGTGACGGTGGAGATGGACAGGAAAGTAGGAAGAGAGCGAGGAGCCCAGCAGAGGACGCTGAGCCCTCAGGCCACCTTCACAGAGTCTGCTTCTGATTGACTGGTCAGACACATTTACACCAGTGGAGTACTGGAGGTCATTTAGTAAGCCTCTGGCAGCACTCGTCCCGTTCCTCCTTGCAGATGCAGATGCTGGTCCCATCAGCATCTACGTTGCCTTCCCATTATGAGAGCAACGTAATGGTGTGCTGAAAGAGGCGTCTTCCAGTCAAGTCCTCTGTAGGAGTCAGGTTAGACACGCCTGTCATGCTGCTGTAGATACCTGCCCGTCTCCTGGAATCGCCCCCATGCTCCTGGGACTGTGCTGAGAGAGACCAGACTTTCTGGCAATAGCACATATTTATGTGACATCTTAGAGGACTCGGACTTGTGCAGTCCCTGTATTGTCCTCATGCAACAATTAGGGACACTGAGCCAAGCAAATTCAAAGTGAAACGAAAACAGTCAGAAAAGAGTGTCAGTGGATTCCACCTGTTCAACCAGTTGTATTTGGAGGGCTTGTCTCACTAACCTTCTAACCTTCTAATGTTAATTTCATTAAGAGCAAAGCTGCTGAAACTGATCAACAACCCCCTCTGCTACCTTTCATCGCTCATCCAAGTGACTTCTTCAGTCACAGCCGACTGCAGATTACAACACAGAGCGAACACCATCCCCACTGACACAGCAGCCAGGGAGGCAGAAGAACATCAAGAAGGCCCTGAGTAAATGTGGTTACCCCAGCTCGACGTTTGTCAAAGCTGGGAAGGCTCCTAAAGAAAGCTCCAGCTGATCCAGGAGAGAAGGACAACCGCTGCCCAAGTGAAAACCTGCAGTGATCCCGTACGTGTCAGGAGTATCGGAGCAGCTGAGACGCATTTTTACTAAACACCAGGTCTCTGTGGCTTTTAAACCCCAAAACACGCTGCGCCAAAAACGGGTCCACCCCAAGGATCGGGTCCCCGACACAAACAGAGTAACATAGTAAATGGTAAATGGCCTGTATTTGTACAGCGCTTTTCTAGTCCCTAAGGACCCCAAAGCGCTTTACACAACCTGTCATCCACCCACTGGTGATGGCAGCTACATTGCAGCCACAGCCACCCTGGGGCGCGCTGACAGAGGCGAGGCTGCCGGACACTGGCGCCACCGGGCCCTCTGACCACCACCAGTAGGCAACGGGTGAAGTGTCTTGCCCAAGGACACAACGACCGAGACTGTCCAAGCCGGGGCTCGAACCGGCAACCTTCCGATTACAAGGCGAACTCCCAACTCTTGAGCCACGATCGCCCCTGTACACTGTTAAGTGCAGGAGGATTGCCAGGATTTATACATCGGGGAAACCAAACAACCTCTGGCGAAGCGGATGGCACAACACAGAAGAGCTACCTCGTCAGGCCAGGACTCTGCAGTCTGTTTACACCTACAGGCCAGTGGACACTCTTTCAATGATGAGGATGTACACATCCTGGACAGGGAGGAACGCTGGTTTGAGCGCGGAGTCAAGGAGGCCATTTACGTGAAAAGGGAAAGACCATCTCTGAATCGAGGAGGGGGCCTAAGGGTACATCTTTCGCCATCTTACAATGCTGTGATTGCAGCCATTCCCCAACTCTCTGTGAATGGGACTCATGGTTATTGATCAGTGTTCATGACAAAGTGCATATTAAAGATCAATGACCTCACAGCCCATTGTTCATTCCTTATACAAACTGTTAATAAGGTTGGGCAAACCTGCATGTGGTGACTGAAATAGTCACTGGGATAAGTGACGAAACATTTCTCCCACTGGGAACATTTTAAGTTTCATCAAGTTGCCCAGTGAGCCACGACAGTCAGCAAGCGTGCAAAACCCAGAAGTAGGTCATCTACATGGATTATCCTGCCTTCATGTGTGCTTCTCTTGCTGTCTCATGCTTTACATAGAATGACACGAGGGGTCTTGATTTGGGTCCAACCTCTTTTTTTCACCACAGGCTTGATTTAAGATTAGCTGTCTAATCCACAGGCCACGTTAGACTGTGGCAGAGTTGTTATGTCAAGCTAAAGCACACTTACTGTACACACCTTTGGCCACAGAAACAAAACCCTTAGAGAAGGCAAATAAGCAGCTATGTAATAACCCAGCCCTCAACACTGGCCAAGCAGTAAATCTTAGACACTCTTCGGGATCTTAAACTGCTGGGCTGTGAAGTCACGGCAGTAAAATGCAGCGTTACTACTGGAAACACTTACAGGACCAGAAAAGAAACTTACCCTGATTCGACAGCTTTGTAATAACATGAATTCTGTCGAGTTCCTCCGCAGCCATGACAGAAATCTCTGTCCAAAGTTCAACAGGAAGTGTTCTTTCAAGACACACCTGCCCAGGTGGACACAGCACGAGATAAGAGTGCAGCTGGGAGCATTAGGGCCACATTAGGAACAATATCAGTGATTATTTTGAGAATAAAGTCGGAACGTGCAGATTACACTTGATTCCAGACGAACTGCCACGGCTGTTGCATCCTTTACAACAAGCTTAGTGTAGATGGCTTTATGAAACACGTGTCATGCAACACATCCTCTTTATTGTACGAGGATGGAACCGCTGATAACCTTGCATCTGCCATTCTTGATTTTTAGTTCCCGAACACTTCCTTTAATAACTTATTACTCCCGAAGCGTTGGAATCTTGGCTCTTCATACAGTAAAGACACAGAGGATACAAATAATCAGGCAAAACGTCAGACACCACGTGACAATAATAAACGTGTCATTTCTGTCGGTAACGTCACGACGCTCGTCTCTCGCTGCTTCACGAAACGTCACTACTAGCATGTCTAGTTGATTGTATTCACACAGCATGATTCATAGATACAAGTCAAAGTGCTTCACAATAAAACCAGAAATATAAAGAATAATATGAAACTATGAAAACAGGACTTGAAAGCTCGTCTGTGTAGAAACGTCCTTTCCACAGACACCTTGGCACATTGTTTGTGTGGTTTTGTGCCAGAACAGGAATCATTTCCTTTGTAATAAAAACCGTCTCTGAAGCACGAGTTCACTGACTGAGGAGGTTTGTCTCTGAACAACTAGAATCTCCACTTTGACCTCAAAAGGATTAAAAACAACAACAAAAACAATAACAACAATAATAAGCCCGGCTCATCAATATTCTGGCACGCGGACGGCAACATTAAATATAGAAATATCAACAGCAGAAGAACGATGCCGTTTACTTTGTATCCACGTCAGTCACGATAAATGAACCGTGGCGCCGATACAGTGAAGACAGCTGCGCGGTTTTTCTTTGCAGATTAATTTTCCATTCAAACACATCCTGTAAGAATTCAATGTGAAGCAACATGAAACACAAAGCCTTCATTTATCCTTTGCTCTTCTGGTGTGCAGCACATTGTATCCTGTAGCAGCTCCACACAGACGGATGACGTTAGCTTAACTGTCACACTGGCTCATCTGATGCTAACAGCTGATGAAGGCAGTGAGGGAGGACACTGGCTGTGTCAGCAGAAACTGGGAGAGCTGGTTTAGAGTTCACAGCTCTAAAAAGAAAGGATGAGGGAGCCTTGTAGTTACATATTTATACTTTTGTTACAGCCGCTAACAGATATGTTTTTGTAGCTCAGATGTTGGCAGCAGGGGACAATGATCCAGGACACACAACAAAGCACCGTCATATAATTTAATGTAAACTCACAGAACCATGGTTGCACAATAAACTGTTTCTGCAGACAGATGTGATTTCTTTAAAATACACTCACTCATGTTTTTGCAAGACAAATCAAAACAGCACAAAAATGTAAATGCAGAGAAGAAGCAAGAAGGTCCAGAGGGCAGAAGAAAGCATCCAGGTCCACGTAACACGGAGAGCAGAGAGCGCTGACCGTCCTTAAAACAAACACCGGTGCCTGTACGCGTTTCTGTACAGTTACTAAATCATGAAATAACATCTTTCTGAGAACATGGTGGCATCATCACGGGTCTCTACAGGAAACCTTTTGCTTTGCTCTCGTTGGGCTTTATTTGAAAAAGAAGATATTTTGATATATAACAGCACAATAAATAAGGACTGATTAGGATACACTTACTCTTTACTCAGACACTTTTCATACACGAACACACTACAGTGAATCTAAAGGAGGGGGTATTATTACTGAGACATGGAAACGGCCTGTTAGCAGAACCAGAGCATGGTGACGTGTGCCTCAGTGACGAGCAGACTCTCGGGGGTAAAACTCTGCCAGCGTGCTCTGAGGAATCCTCTTGAGCATCTCCTTGGGGAAGATTCGCAGCAGCTGCCAGCCGATGTCTAAGGTTTCGTACACCGTCCTGTTGTCGTATGGGCCTGACACACAGAGCAGTCACAGTTAGCAAAACACACCAACACATCCAGTGTTACAACTGCAGTAAGCTTACATGTAGCTTCTATCAAAGGTGCAGTTTTTAAAACAGAAACGTGATGCGAACACAATGAAAAAGCCTCTCAGTAAATTCAAATGCATTTATATAGAAACAAATCTCCACAGCAGTCGCCTCCAGGTGCTTTATACTGACGGTATAACAGTAACACAAAGAGCACGTCAGTCACTCGCTGATTAAACACTGACATGAGGAAATCGAACGTGTGGTGCACTCCACAACGAAGTACTCTGGAGAACGTCATACACCTTTTTATCGTGCTTTCATTTTTATTTTAACCCAAGCTCAGTTTCTCCAGACCGACTGTGAAATGATCAGTGAGAGCTGAGTAACCTGCAGCGGTCTCAGCCCCATCACTCACATCTGCAGAGCCGCCTCCATACAAACTGTGACGTGTGTTTCCCACATACTGCTGTCGGGATGCACAGGAACATTCCTCTCTGCTACACTACTGGAGTCTATTAGTGTTGAGAAGAGGAATAAGGCTCTGTATTTACCAAGAAGATTACGCCATTTTAACACGTTACTCACTCAGAGGGAAGAAAAGAAGGAACCCTCACAGATCAGTATTTTCCAGGAACAAACGTAACCTCAGACATACAATAAATGCCAAAACAGCTGCAGGTATTCGCAGCAGAGCGCTCTGACAGAAGAAAACAGCCATCGTTTCATACGTTACATGCTGATTACAGGCTGACCTCACCGCTGTGAGATAATAACTACATATCTGTTGTTTACTAAACAGTAACAATCTTACAAATCATATTCAAAACAAGTAACAGACTGCACTGTGACTGCAGTGCAAACACTGAGCTGAGCTTCACAGCAGGGTCCAACGCACGAGGCTGACAGGTGGTGATCGTAAAGACGAACCACCGTCCAGCATCCGTTTAAGACCTGAAGGAACAGAGGAGCACCTCTGAATGTGTCCCCAAGTGCAGTCACAAAACCCCCCAGCACTACGAGGAAGCTGACACGATGGAGGAGGAGGGGCGAGACACACCTTCAAAATAAAGGGCCCTAAGATGCTTCAAATATGTGGAACTTTTAAAATAAAAGCTATCAGTTAGTTGTAGCCGTTCAGCGTGCCCTGCTTTCCTCCTTCAGCTCTTCTAACCAACCTTTTTATAAATACTTGAAACTGACGACTGAGGCTATAAACTGAATCTAATAAAGGTGTCAGTGAGGTCGCAGATGAAGGAACATAGGAGAAAACTATGTGAATAAAATGCTGTAATGAAATGTTGTGTTCTTGTGTCGCGGACACATTCCTGTTACACAGTGTGATACAAAGCTGCTGTCTGTCGGTGTGCAGATCGCTTTTCTTACCCTGAGCAATAAAATTCTTCTCAAACTTCTGCAGGAACTCCAGATACAGCAGATCATCCGAGGTGAGCGCCTCTTCTCCCACCACGGCCTTCATGGCCTGGACATCCTTACCGATAGCGTAACAGGCATACTGCAGACACACACACACTCACTGCGTGAACTATTACTGCTGCATACCAACACTGCTGCCCTCACACACATTATTCATGGTGCAACGTGCGAGACGGTTTACCAGCTGGTTTGACACATCGGCGTGGTCCTTCCGGGTCATCCCCTCTCCAATGGCAGACTTCATTAAACGGGACAGAGAGGGCAGCACGTTGATAGGTGGGTAGATCTGAAAGACGTAGGATGAGGTTACAGGTGTTACTGGATATTGTGGAAAAGCACAAAGGGCAGCTGTTCAGCTCCAAATGAGAGAAACAGGCCGGCTCTTTAAAAGATCTGTCTCTGTGCTGTGTCCACACTGCAGCGTGGTTTCTTAGGTCAGACCTGTCCAAACAACTCTGACCAAAGTCTGATTTAACTGGGATGAAAAGTCTGTGTGTGGAACAAGATAAGGACAAACTCCTCAGCAAGCTGTGCTCTAACATTCACAGCTCACAGTCCCGTGTGTCCCTGCTGCTGTCCAAAAACACAGCAGCTGAGGTAGAGCACGCAGGGAGTCTTTACTGTGAAATGTGCAGGATCATGTAGTTTGGAACACACTGAGGAGGCTTCAGTCTAGCTTCGGTTTACAGCTTCGATCAAAACCTTAGAGGAGACTCATGTCAAACACGTCGCAGGTTGAGGAAAAACCACACGTGCAGCACGTGGATCAAAGACTCTCCTTCTGGCAGGTTAGCATTTCCTGTCATACTGACTTTGTCAGACAACATAAAAAAAAACACCCACAAAACTTTTCCATCCATCCATCCACTTCCGCTGGAGCCTATCCCAGCTGTCAGAGGGCGAGAGGCGGGGTACACCCTGGACAGGTCGCCAGTCTGTCGCAGGGCCAACACACAGGGACAGACAACCATTCACACTCACATTCACTCGCACATTCACAGCTAGTGGCAATTTGGATTATCCAATTAACCTATCCCCACAAGCTGCATGTCTTTGGACGGTGGGAGGAAGCCGGAGTACCCGGAGGGAACCCACGCAGACACGGGGAGAACATGCAAACTCCACACAGAAAGACCTGATGGTGGAGTTGAACTCAGGACCTTCTTGCTGTGCGGCAACAGTGCTAACCACCGTGCCACCGTGCTGCCCAAAAACCTTTACTTAAAAAAAACAATGTTTCTGTTTGGTCGAGTGTCCATCAAACATGAGCTACATGCGTGCAGTGAGCATGTGCTCTCGGTACACAGACTGATTTCTGCAGTGACAGATGTGACACGGAGGACCTGGGCACAACACGATCGTCTGCAGACATCATCAGTTATCATTATGTTAATATTGTTCTTCAGGTTTTAAAGTGCGGCGTGTGAGGCCACAGGTTCAAAGCCCGGACCGACACATACCTGTCTGTTGTGCAGCTGTCGGTCCACATACACCTGGCCCTCTGTGATGTATCCAGTCAGATCAGGAATTGGATGAGTGATGTCTGTTCAAAGAGACAAATGCATTTGTTGGACGTGCACACTGGAACACGATGACTATGAAGACGTAGCTGCACCAGCACAGAGAGGCTGTGTTACTCCAGAGCAGGGAGCCCTTTGTAAAAGCCAACACAATCACCCTCCCTGCAGTGCTGTGGGGGGGCGGGTCATGTTCAGACAGGAGCAGGCTCTTCATACATGTTCCCATGGTAACTGACGGCATCAAAAATGTCTACTCATTCCACTTTAGACACCTCCTCCATTAATTCAGTTGCCTCGTGGGCAGATTAACTCGTTTAAGGACAGGTGGATGAGTGACGACCACACACAGGTAGAGACATGAGGCTTCAGCTCAGAGCTATGGCAGGCGGTGTGCTCTCACCATCGTTGGGCATGGTCAGAATGGGGATCTGGGTGATGGAGCCGTTTCTGCCTTCCACTCTGCCGGCGCGTTCATAGATGGTGGCCAGATCTGTGTACATGTAGCCAGGAAACCCTCGACGCCCGGGTACTTCCTCTCGGGCAGCAGAGACCTAAAGGTGAGGACGAGTTGGGGGAAGCAGACAAAGGCTGTAAAGAGACATTCCCTTTATATTTGAATCTCATCTGGGAAAAATGTTCAGGTTGTGTCATTTATTTTGGTCACTGGTACTGGATATAGTCTAGTCTTTATTGGTCTCACTGGCCAGTCCAAACACTTTAGACTTGTTACGACCCGGCTCAAAAGCCGCAACATAAAAAAGGAGACGAATACCAGAGTGTAGGTGAAACCAGGTTTTATCTTAAAATGGCATATCAGGTTGGCTAAAACGGCTGGTGCCACCGAGGCAAAGACTAGGGAGCTCCCTGGGAAGCTTGCCTCAGGTATGCTTTTATCCACACCTGACTAGGTGTGGCCAATTAGCACCAGCTGAACACACTGAGCAGATTAGAGGCTGCAGAGGGACGTAACAGACTGGTTACAGTTAGCCACAGATCTGCAGTTATTTACCACCCATGGGAGGAAGCTGGAGTAGACAACACAAACTCCAAGGTCTGAAACGTTGATGTGAGGCGACGGTGCTGCTCACCACTGTGACCAAGGTTAGGGAATGATCCCGTCCAAGTCAATATGTTTGGAAAAAGAAACTTTAAAAACTGACAGCTGCTATATGAGTGTTTTCACACCTGACTTAAATTTGGTCTGAAACCAATTCAGAGGTTGGCACATCAT